ACCGGCGCGACATCCGTCAGCTGTGCTCGAGGGCGATGCTATCTGACACCAATTAGTTCTTTGCAACGCCAGAAAAATATTGCTTAGGGTAGTTTGTATAACAAGAACTGAACTTTCCACCAACTGAAAGTGTCGCCAGTAACTGCTAGAAGAAATCAAGTAACCTGGAGTCGAATGTATTGGCGTGGAGCAGTCTACCGCTAAATAGTATGACATCATGATCAGGGGCGGATTTACAGGGAGGGTCCGGATGTCTTGACCCCCCTCTTGATTTCTGCATGCGTAAAAATTTAGGACGTGGAAACGGCGGAGCGGGGGGGGGGGGGGGGGGGGGGGGCGTCCTAAACGTGTGGTACGCTGACCGACACCTGACCCCCCCTCTGGAAATTCCTGCATCTGCCCCTGAGATTCTTCCCGTGCCCTAAAGTTGAAAGGCATGCCAGCCTAGGCCTTCGTCCACGTTCGCGCTACCAAGATGAACACGCACAACTCAGCGACCGCTAAGTAGTTTCGCATATCGTTTATTCTTTTTGTGGTTGGTATTTACCGCTACATACTCCATTCAAAAAGGTAAATATGTGGTTAGCGTATTCAGCCTTAGGAAGTAGCATCTGTTAGTTCCACAAGCTGGGTGCATCACATACAGAAAAAAGAGTTTATGCATATTGTTTATTAGACGATACATAAACACGAATGGTTTTGAACTTGGTCACACAAATTGTGGGGGAAAACATCTACATATCTATACTGACAGTGTCAGTTGGCTGCAATAGAACAGTTTTATCAAGGTTATAATATATTGGGATAGTCTATCTGGGAAGCACTTCAACTTTCTTGCTCCATACACTTTCTCAAAAAGCAAGAGGGTAATAATTTTGCATGTGTCTACAGGTATCACGATCAATAAAAAACAAAAAACAAAACCACTAATCTGTCCAAGATGTGTCTGCAGAAAAAAAAAAAAGAGCTCAAGACTAGTTTTGTAAAACTGAGAATGTCACCAAGCCAAATAAAATCGGTACTTGATAAAATCCCGACACAATGAGTATGTACATGAGGTTGCAGTACATAACACCTCATAAAATCGATAAAAATATACTATAAATAATAACTTAATATATTCATGCACTAGACTAAAACAATATGGACACTTGTAGAAAAGAGAAGGGGGGGGGTGCAAAAATTCAACTGTTGTAATCCGACCCCTGTTAAGACAGTTTTATCAAGGTTGTAATATCTTGGGATAGTCTTTCTGGGAAGCATATCCCATGGCAATGCAATGAGCATTTTTCTGAACTTTCTTGCCCCATACACTTTCTCAAAAGAAAAAGGGTAATAATTTTGCAGGTGTCTACAGGTCTCACGAGAAATAAATAAAAACATAAAAAAAAGAACAAAAAAACACTAATCTGTCCACGCTTCGAGAATGTGCTTCCGTTCGGGCTCGAAATCGCTTCCGCCCGACGTGCACGAGATAACCGGGGCGGCGCAAGGTGCCGTTATGACAGCCATCGTGATGGGTGACTGAGCTCGCGCATATGCTACAGATAACATTTCGCAGCACCTTGCGCCAGTCCCTGCTATCTCGTGGGTGTCGAACGGAAGCGATCGAAAAAACATGACCGCGAACAAGAAAGGAAGCGCATGCACAAAGCGCGAGTCTTGAGAGCGGCAACGCGCCGTGAAAAGGCGTAGCCAGTCTTTTCGGCTGGCACTCTCGTGCCCCGCGAACGTTTGCTCCCGACGGTACATAACACTCCATAAAATCTATAAAAATATATTATAAATAATAACTGGACTGAACTATAAAAAAGACACTTGTAGGGAAAAAAAAGGGAGGGGGGGGGGGGGGGCAAAAAGGCAATCGTTGTCATCAGACCCCTGTCAAAGTGCTAAATTAAAGACGATTCTTAGGGCATTGCCCGGTTTAGAAAATTATAAAAGGTTAAAGGGCGAAGGTTATTATTGAGATGGCACCTGCACTGTCCGATGTGCAGTTCCAATGTTACACTGGGTCACCTACAAACAGAAGAGGAAGACTGTAAGATCCCACAAAAATATTCTACATGGTTTGTGATATTTTCATTTTTACATTCCGGTGCTTCAATTACATTAAACACTGGCGCCTACATCTCTCATGATGTAGACGCAAACTTGACGCAGATGGGCGACGTGTCTGTTTGCTCCTAACTCACAGGGACGGGATTTAGCTTTTTTTTGTCGATTTCATCACTTGCTTAGGTTCATCGCAGTAACTAAAACTTTGATGTCGGTGGCGGAAAGAAGTGACACTGCGGACGTCAGGTGGAGCAACACCGGCATGTCCAACTTCATTTCACGGCCACCCTTGTTGTCAAAATCGAGGTAAAATAAAGTTTTTGTGCAAAGGAACTTTGGAGGAATCAATGCAGCTCATTCTGCCAGTGCTGAACACAACTTCATTAACCGGCACGACATCCGTCAGCTGTGTCGATGCTATCTGAAGCTAATTTGAGTTCTTTGCAACGCCTAAAAAATATTGCCTATAACAGTTTGCATAATCAGTGATTTCGTATTAAAAGCTTTAATAAAACACTCCATCATTTGCTTCGCGAAATATTGGATCTATATTTTTAATTCTAATGTTAAACACGAGCAGAAATCGAAACCGAAATTTCGGCTCCGTCTGGCAACATTGGTCTCGGGACGCCAAGAACATGGCTATCACGTGGTGCGAGATGTCACGTGATCCTCTACGCGACGACGGGCGGGATCGGGCGTCAGGCCAAAGTGCCTTCTACACCGCACTCTTCACCACGTTTTGGTGTCAGCAGGGATGGGCAGTATTTCAAATACAAGTATTTGAAATGCGTATTTCAAATACTTTGTGTATTTTTCATTTGTATTTAAATACGAATTGGGTGATGTATTTGACGTGTGTAGTTAAATACTAAAACGTGGGTATTTTACATACAATTGTAATTAAATACAATTTTGTGGGCGAAAATACATCCCTCAAATTTATTGTCACTCTCCAGAGCACGAACAAAACTACGTTCTGCACCGAATGCAGCGTCTCTTAATCAAGTTTAGTGACTTTGTGATTACGGTGCTATGCTCTGTTTCACCTTATGATGTACCGCAGGAAAGGTTACAAGCGCGAGCTCTTTGCTCTGGGGCACATCTCGACAGCACAAGCTCTCGTGACTTAAGAGCAGCTGCCAACGCTATGCGCTCGCGCTTCTAGCCTTCGCTGCGCTACAACATAGCGTGAAACAAAGTATAGTCCAGGGCAAGAATGGTGACGAAATCGACGTTCACAGGCAGACTGGCTAAATAAGTGCCTGTGACAACTTGTGATGCTTTCCAGCCTGATTTCCATCCACATTTTTGCCTGGAACATTCTAAATGCGCGGGTCGTCCAGATTTTCGTAACTGGTGCGAGTTGCAACAATAAAAAATTCTCTAGCTAGTGCTGCGCGTCTTGGTCGTCTCGGTTCTTTGTTGCTCTATACCAAAATGTAATCGACAAAAAGCTGCTTCAAGAACTGTACTTTTTTCACCTATTACGTCCTAGCTCATTACATTTTTTTAAAATTATATTTCTATTACGTTACTAGAGTCTCGCACACTAACTCCCGAGTGTGCGATGCAAAATTAAAATTAGATACCCACTGGAAAAGTATTTGGAGGAGACCAAATACATTTGGTTTTATCTGTATCTTGTAATTAAATGCTTTTTTGGAAATGTAATTAGATTTGTATTTAAATACATTTTTGGCGAAGTATTTTGTATTTGCATTTCGATACATATTTGCATGTATTTTGCCCACCCCTGCCTGTCAGATATTCGACGACGTCTTCACAACTGCGACATTAGTCTGCGCACGTAGTGTCCGTAGTGTGGAAGAAACTCCGAGGGACTATAATCAAACAGTGAGACGACGACGGTGGTTATGGCGCGGGGGATGGCAGTAACGGTGGGACCACGGCGTGGCGGCCTGATGGCTCCCAAGAAGCGCGTTGCGCAGGCGCGTTAAGCACGGTCCAAACCAACGCGTCTTTATGCGCGCGTAGGCCATGCGCTTACCGGAAGTTGCGTATTTCGTGGCGTGTTTGGTGGTTAGGACGGTGCTGCTTCGGGCGAGCGGTGAGCATCTGCGCCAGACGGCGAAGAAACATTCTTATGCGCGCCCGGAAGGCGGACGGAATCAGCGTGACGTCACGAAATCCGCAGTTTCCGGGAGCCGCACGGCCTACGCGCGCAGATCGGTTTGGATCGCGCTTTACGCCAGTCACGTGGACACCGCTGAGCGCCGAGAGGAAACGTTGCTGACGCCACCCGTTACGCGGGACCAGAGATTTAAAATAAAGCAAAAGGGGGCAATGTTGATTACGTTAAGCTCAAAGTTGGCTACGACCACGCCATAGCCTTGACTGAGTTGTTGGTTGCGCGTCAATACGACCGCTCGAGTCAGTCGATTTCCGCAAATTGGCGCGTTGCCAAGTTTGCCGGACCGCTTAAGAAACATTTCGACAAAACTACTACGTCGTAATATTTGGCGTGTGGTCTTCCTAGGCGATACTAGGGGACTGCATTGTTTTTTTGAAAAACGAAAATGAAGCGGAGTTGACCTTGAACAAGAACTACGAGCTCTCTACCAATTGAAACTTTACATGTGGGAATTAACTAATGCCATAGACATTTAATAAAATATGCTATGTCATTGCTTTGGACATAAGATTGTTTTGAGGGAAAGGGGTACAAGGAACCAAGAACATTCTTCAACCTGTGCAGTACAGTCGAGCGCGTGTGGGTTGAGGGGCAATCGGTCACTATTCAGTTAAGGAGTTTAAAACTGAATTTTAAAACAGCGATACACCAAGACTGACTTGTTTTACCACTTTTTAGCTTAGCACAACCGTCACCTACATCTTGAAGGACATGGCACCCGATGTACACGGCATGTCACACCTTTGCAAAACCATAGAGAAACGTAACTTCAAAGAAGCATGTATACCATTGTGGCGAAGCGCAGCGAGTTAATTGTCTCTCCCACGTTTTTCTCGCACGGAGAGACGTTTAGCAGCATCAGGGTCTTGCTGTTCCCTCCCAGGCTGTCCATCAAGAGGAAGGTCAGCTTGGAGTTGCGGTATGGCACGTGCTTCGCCTGCAGTCGCCAGGGAAGGAGAACGACCAACGCTCAAAACAACGACCTTACCGCCACACTTACACTACGGTTCACTTAAAAAAAAAAAAAAGGACACCCAGAGCAACCCGTCAATGGGTGCGTTAAGTTCACGCCCTAGAGTGCACAAGTTTGGTGCTTTATTTCATTTCATTTATTTATCCTTAAGGGCCCGGGTGGGGCATTACATAAGGGAGAGAGTAAAAATAACAATAGTAGACGAGAACTAAAATACACTTTGACACTTTAAAACGACAAAAATAGGAAAGGGAGAGAGTAAAAATAACAATAGTAAAAACACAAAGTACTGATATGGTTTAGTCGGGAATGGTTAGTAGTTGTGTAAAGAGACTTCCTGGCGAAACTTTGATAGTAGAGAGAAGCACCATAAAAGACTATAACTCAAGCGCTATGTGCACCCCCGTTTTCTTTAAGCATTAGCTTCTCTCTGGCGCTCCCATGATGACAGTTCCGCCTAAATTAAGTTTTGGCTTGTTTCATAACACAGTTGACCAAATAAAGGCAGTCTTTCTCTCCTTCCACATTAGCAGAGAAAATACCGAGTGAAGGAAGCCGCTCATCCTGGACGAGTGTTCTGTGGGAGAGGCTCCTCTTCACTTTACGTTGCAACACACTACAATATAGCAGTATATTCCTATGGGTGATGTTCGCGTCCTAACTGCACTTGGAGCAAGGGAAAACCCTTGAGAGCAGACTTAACGCGCTCATTTTCTTGCAGTTTTTTTTCAAAAATGTTGCCTTTCTGCAGCCAACTCATTTTGAGAAAGGAGGTTGCTTAAAAGAGACAGATTGCCGACCTTCTGGGAGAGTGCCAGGATCACGTTGCCCAGGTTCGAGAGGGAGCGGTTGATGTGCTGAGTCTCCCGGAGCCTGGCACCCTCCGCCTTGGACTCGTCCAGTCGCTCGCTGCCACACAGGTCCACCAGGTTTAGCAGGCCTGCAAACACACATATCAGCATTGAAGATTATTGCTATGTGGCAGCAGACATCAGCAGGCCCCAAACTTCAGCAACTATCTCACCTAATTTGTGGCACTTTTTGGAAAGCATTTCATTTGCAGTGAAAAAGTGTGAACTGCACAATAAAAAAGAAGTCATCTGGAACTGGTTAGACGAATGCTACAAACAGGACGGACGTGCACACTAGTCAACGGGAATAAAAGTTTCAAGAAGCAGTAGTGGTTGCAAGATGGAGATTGTATGAATAATAGAAAAAAAACTGTTGAACTTTGTTTAGCAGCTTTTCTTAGACGCGCTAACAACTTAACAGTTAGGGCAGTTAAACGAAGTTTAATAGCCCCAGAAGGAAGTTGGCTCTGCCAAAAACTAAACACCTTTGTGTACTAGTAAACAAAAACAAAAAAAAAGTGAAAGCCGTTTACAACTCCCTGTAACACCGAATTAGAGCGCAGCTCTTGAGGAGGAGGAGGGAAGGGTACAGGGGAGTGAAGTGACCTGGGGGTCACGTGACGATGCCGATGATGTCATCAGTGACGTCACTGATGACGTCATCCGTGATGTCACTGATGACGTCATCCGTGATGATGACGATGACGATGACGTCATCAGTGACGTCACTGATGACGTCATCAGTGATGATGTCGATGCGGATGCCGGTGAGGTCATCAATGACGTCACTGATGACGTCATCATTGACGATGACGATGCGGACTCCGATGACGTCATCAGCAATGATGACGATGCGGATGTCGGTGACGTCATCAGTGACGTCACCGATGACGATGCCGTCGACGTCATCAGTGATGATGACGATGACGATGCTGATGGCGGTGAGGTCACCAGTGACGTCACTGATGACGTCATCAGTGATGATGACGATGCCGGTGACGTCAGTGACGATGACGTCATCGGGGAGGTCACGCGACCTCGGCGGGGGGTCACGTGACCCTGGGGGGTGGTCACGTGACCCTGGGGGAGGGGTCACGTGACCTTGGGGGCCACGTGACCTTGGGATGACCTTGGTTACGCCGACGGCGCTCAAGCCGGGAACAGGCCCCTAAGAGCTGCACTCTAAAAAAAACAGCCTCGAAGAAAACATGTTACTGCCTAGTGAGTTAGGCAAACCAGCCATAGCTAGCTATAAGGGCGAGGCTGTAACAAAAGAAAAATGAACTGTGCCCACCACTGAAAAGCAGAAGCGAGGCATTTGCGCCTCCCATACATGGTCGACAAGGCAGGGGGGAACACCCACCTCGGCTACCCACACCGGTCCGGCTGTTGGTCCCCGTGATGCGGAGCTGGAAGACCGAGTGAGAGCGGGAGGAGTGCTCGTTGCACTGGGTGGAACCGACAGCCCGATGCTTCCGAGCCCGCCGGAGCAGCTCGTGGATCTACACAGGCGTTGCAGAAGTCCCATCATAAAATCTGCCGTAACTGAGTTCCGACAATAAATATCTCGCGTCTCAGAACCCCATGTCAGACAATGAAGTGACCACAGGGAACTACCCGCTTACTCCTACTAGAAAGCAGTTAGCACACTTTTATGTGCGCTATGCGAGACTAGGCCAGACGTATCAAACCGTCTCTGATTTGTGTTACCGCTAAAGTTGAGAAGCTTTAGAACTGTTTCAGGCAGAGAGACTTAAGCCGCAGTCCATACTGCTAAGGCATCGTACAAAATACGCTGTCTGCGTACACTGTCTGAGGAGCGTTTATTCCTTGTATGGATAGTCATGTTACATTAGTCATACAAAAACTTTCTGCAGACATGTTGAAGCATACATATGCATGAAGCAAACATGCTTTGAACATGCTTGAGGTGTGTCACCAGATAATTCTGACATGTCTGCAGTGATCACCGTCTGTTGAATGATGTATGAGCAGTGTAACTAGGGTTTCAAGGTTCACGAGACTAAATAGAGGAGACTCGCCAACACCAGAGCCTATATCCAAAACAAAATTTGCCAAGCTTCCCTGAAGACCACCAAAAAAACAAACTTCACGGGTGACCTTGGTCAAGCAAAGGCAATACTTGCCTGCTCTGTAGAAGTAACTGTCGTTCTGGTGGCGTTGGTCACCATCGTGGAGCCGTCCTTGTGCTTTATCTGGCAGCTGGCCTGGTTGCTCCGGGGGTGCGTCGACAGGAGATCCCGCACATTCTCGTTGTATATCTCCAGGTACGACGCCACCATCGTAAACTATAGAAGACGTACAAGGAACACTTATCAGGTCCTATGCTCCGAACCGTGCAGCTCATTGTAAAGAGCCTGGGAGTAAAGAGTGAAGGATCGTTTGGCTGTGCCAAGATATTCGATAGAGAGTTTTCAGATCACACCAAACTACGGCGTACGCAGGTGTGGAACATTGAACGAAAGCCAAAAGAACGCTTCCCCCACACGTGGCGATCCTGACGACCCAAACCATCATTAGGAGTCCCAATTTGGCCTTACGGTTCCACAAATGCAACAGAAATCCATAAATTGGCCCACCCATATATTCTTCACAATTAATTATGAATTTACATAAAGGAAGGCCCTATTTAAACATGCACGATAACTTTGTGCGCTATACTACGTTCCTCCTGGATATGCACAGCAGAAAATGCTAGAAGGCCAAGCCAATTGCTTGGACACTGCGCTGTTGCACAAGACTTTTGCGTAGCCAAGGTGCATTCTCGCGCAAGAAACTGGTGCTCTTAGCCTTCACTGCAATATCGCTAAAAAAAAAACTAAAAAAAAACGAGGAAAGCATTTGATATCCGAAAGAGAACTAGCAATGCTCGACTGCACTAGGGTTCAAGATGCTTGGTTATGGCGCTTGGGCTTTGCCACACATCGAACAGTGGAAGTTGGACGGAAGTGCATCATTGCCTCGTTTAAATTTTTTTTGGGACTCGTCACCGTTACAGCACCGCGGTCAGACACCAACTGTTATGAACACCATGGCGTCACCATCAATATTACATGCCACGGACACGAAAACACACAATACTTGGTCCTACAATTGCTAAGCACGTAGAACCACTTGCCTCCCAGTGCTGGGTCCTCTGGAGCTTCTGCGCAGACATAAAGACCTGCTGGAGGGCCCTGGGGATCAGCCCCAGCTGCGAGTCGTTCGGAGAGCCCAAATCCAGCTCTGGCGGACCCTCCATCGTGAAGGTCTTCCCGGATCCGGTCTGGCCGTAGGCGAAGATGCACACGTTGTAGCCGTCCAGCGCAGACTGTACGACGTGCGCCACCTCTTCGTAGACCTCCGCTTGTGTCGCGGAACCCGGGAAGACCCGGTCGAAGGGGAATGCCATCACCATCTGTTTGGAGAAAGGAAGCTCAACCGGTCGGTCACGCAAATACGCTACTCGGCATTTTTATGGAAAATTAGGCTTTGTTTTATCAAAGACGAGCTAAAAAGAAATATGAAAAGATGCGGGAGCTCAAGATTGAGGAGTAACTCAACTCAAGTAGGAAAAAACCTGTAAAAAGTTTAAACGAGAGGTGGGAGTCTGTCAGCAACAAGACATTATACTCTTTCGTGTATTTGATTCATGATCTCAGCACAAGCTTAGCGCACAACTTTTTTGATCTAGGTAACATGATATCAAAACTATCGCATCTTACAACCACTAGTGGCAACTTGGAGGAGCTCCAATTTGTTACAATGCATGGTTAATAAATGCAGCAAGTGTCATAGAAAGAACTATAGGAATCCAATACTCTGTCTCGGCATAATGCGGAACCTGCCCATAGCAGCTTTATTGAGTATGTCGAGATATACAAAATACTTTCTCCTAGAGATTGCTCTTTGAAATTCTGTCATTTCATGCCTTTAGTACCTAGCTGTGCCAGCTCTTTCCCTTCCCCTTTCCCTTTATGTTCACTGGTAGACTGCCCACATTAATAATTGTGTATTCCAGAGATTTCACTAGAACATACCAGTGGTGCACTCACCTCCGTGTCGGGCTTGACCAGCTCCACAGTCTTCTCGTCTGGGAACGATATGTGACTCGGGCGCTCGCCCTCCCTCTCTTCCGACGGAAGCATCTGCCGCACCCGGCAGAAGACACGTATGTTTCCCTGAGGGGAAACGCAAGATTCCAATATGATGCAATAGTCAGTGTACGCCATGACGAATGCAGATAGTGCACAAAGCTATGCCTCTGCCTCTAACAACAAACGGCCCGGCACGCAAACTGCCCAACAGATTAGCTGAGCGACATTCACGAGGGAACAGCTCTCCGATCGTTACGCTGCAACCATGACGACTCCCGACGCGACAGGTTTACAAAACAAAGATTCAAAAGTTCTCAAACAACTTGCAATAGTGAGCACTCTTCATTACGAGTTACCTGAAGGAATAATCTATGGTGAGGTGCGAACGCTTCTTAACATAAAAGAACCACCCCATTAGTGAAGTCGCTTTCAGAAAACTCACTACATTAGCACCTCAAATACCAATACCAGTATAATTATCTACTGAGAGCCGAAGAGCCTCTTCTTGAGAGCCGAAAAACCCCTTTTATGAACAAGGTCCGCGGAAGAGGACCTTGTAAATAAAAAAGGGAGCGCTTCGGTATGCATCCATGAATGGCCGAGATTTTTGAATATAGTGCTGAAACTAACTTGAGGGTGGAAATGGCTGAAAAAATTCGTGAGCCTGTTGAACTCTGGGCTTCTAGAAACCCAGTGAGAGCACTAGCTATAGAGGTTTCATTCCATCCAGTTTTCTGAGATCACTGATGTGCATCCACTGTTCGTAGAAGGGCGCGTCGAAGTGGATGAAAAATTTATGGTGCTTCATGTGCTGGATTTGTTGCGACAATCTATATCTGCGGAATCGAGCAGGAGCAAAAAAAGCTTCATCTCGGCAAAAAACCCGAACCTCATAGCTCGGAGTTATCAAGCCGCAGTGCAACCCACCTTCAATTCCTGCAGCGTGTTATGCAGGTCACGACGTATCATATCGGCGTCCTGCAGCTCCTGGCCCTTCTCTGCCTCCCTTTCCTGGCTCTGACGAAGAGAGTCTGCAAGCTGTGCACATTTCTCTTGCTCGTCTTGAAGCAGCAACTGCAAGCAGACGCATCTCATCAGCACAGTGGTTGCACCAGTACGGGGCAGTGACACGCACAGAAGAAACTACAGATTTGTAGCAAACACCCGTGGAGGCAGAGTGAACGAGAAGAGGCATCAAGAAAACTGCTCCGAGTGTATCACGAGCATCCACACCTTGACTGCGACAATGTTACGAGGGCCTCAAATACCAAACCCATGTTTGTGGGCTTTATAGCGCAACAGCTACGGGGCCCATCCTGCACCAAACTAAATTTTAAAGATTAAGCCAATGTAGCTAATATGTAAAAAAAAATTCTATTTATGTAGGATAAGATCTCGTATATGAGGCCTGAATTGGCAATAAAGGGTAAGACACTGTCAAATGGGATGAGAGGATAATCTGAGTAAAAGGGTGGGATCGAATGTAATTTGGAAGCGAAAAAATTCAGAAAATAGAAACGACGTTTGGTGTCGAAATCTGAACAGACCCATAGAACATTTATCAGGGCAATATCATCACCTCAGTGCTCAAAACTGGATGAACCTCTCTACAATGAAGATGCTTGTGAGATGTAAGAGCGGCCAATGCGAAAATAACATAACAAAACTTTATGAAATTGGTTTCTGCGAGTGAAGAGCTCTCCAACAGCCCAAGGGCTTTGTTAAATAAAGTTTGTTTTTACATTGCATTTTCCACTCCGACTGCCGTACACGGAGACATGATGACTTTATTAGAGGTTGGATGTCTTGGTAAGGCCAACTGGCGTGGGATGGTGGAATATTACCCGAGGATGTGGCGAGTCTGTTTTCCTCTTCATTTCCTTTTATTTTCATGTGACTGGAAACCCAACAAAATTGTATTTTGAGAGCTCCGTGCATATCATTATTAAGTTTATTTCACAGTTGCTGCACAAGCATATTTTTAGAAACTTTTAAGCAGCATAGTGCAATAATATCACTTTGGGAGTCTACAAATAAGACTGCTTGCTTTATTCTAGCCTGGAGAATTTAATCTATAGCCATAGAAATTGCATAAAGTTATGATGTGAATATACTTGCACAGGTATTCAGAGGTTTCACTCCTGAAAATCGAATTAGAATGCACGGCACTGCCAACGAATGATGAAGTCTTAGCTATATTTGTGTAGAAATGGGCATGACCTTCATATTTCTTCTCTAGCTCAGATGATTACTGCTGAATGACAAGGATTGAAACACTATGAATACTAAACTTAGTAAAGGTCCGGTCCCAGACAACTGGCAATATGTCCCAGGGGGCAACACAGTGTACATTCTGCAAGAGATTAGCATCGTTCAGGCAAATGTAAAATAAGGGACAGAAGCGTCGGACATGAAAACTGAAGGACCTCACAAGACTGCTTGTTTTCAAAAAGGCGACAAAATCTAGATCCTTGTAAAGAATGGAAAGTCGGATGATTACGGGTGATTGAGTTTTTTGTCGAAAAATATTATGCAATGCAGCATACGGTGACGGATTTCATAACCATGGTGGTCTTGGAGGATCTCATACCTGCATGCCATATTGTAGGCCCTCTCCAAGTAAAAAAAGACTGCTTATTTACGAATGCTTCGCGTATGACTTTCTATGCGCACCAAATGGTCCAAGGTCGATAGTCCTTGGCGGAAGCCACACTGGTTTAAATGCAACATTTTATTTTCCAGTATGTACATTAGCCATGTGTTTATCAGTCTTTTCTGTTTTTACAAGGCAGCTGGTTTGAAACAATTGGACGGAAACTAGAAGGTAGAGAGGGATTTCTACCAGGCTTCAGGAGAGGTATAATGTGTGCTTGGTTCCAAGCCACAAGAAAACACGCCCTTTCCCACAAAAAACCGAAGAAATTAAGGAATTTGAGGGATTCAAAAGAGAGGTTACGCAGCATTTCGTAATGCAGTCCATCAGGTCCAGGAGCAGATAGCTTTTTGACGTGAAGGGCCATCTAGCTCACTGTGTAAAAGGCTGATTTTATGATGCCGTGTTTGAACCAGTTGTAATTATATTGCGTTGCTTTGCACGGTATTTAAAGGACTTTAAAGAATCAATATAGCTAGAGAAGCAGGACAGAATAAAACTACTCCCAAAGAACATTATCCAATTTTCTCCATGATGCAGTGGAAGGGTTGATATTGGATATTTAACTCGGCAGTCCCCTTTAATTTTCCGGAATCTAGCCCAGACCTGTTTAGCGGGAAAAAACTGCTCAAAGAAAACACTTTTCCTCCAGGTTTTCCGTTTCGCTTGCTTATGAGTCCACCGTGCTCTTGCTTCGTTTTTTAAACTCCACCAGGTTTCTTGAGGTGGAATACCGCCTGAACTTTTCTCACCCTATTTCTCTCTTCGCGTAGAGACACATCACTTATTTAACCAAGGTTTTCCCTTACGGGTTAAAGTACCGGTAGTTTGAGGAATTGATTTCTGAGCAGCGTTTATTATCTGCTCTGTCACACAGAATGTGGCCTCATACGAAGTCATGGAGGAAAACACTGATGTATCCAGCTTGGTGTTACAACTAAAAGACAGCAATCTGCCTTGTCCACCTTCCACCGAGGCATTCGTTCTAAAAAAAAGGTTGGAAGACAAATGTCCCTTTCTAAAACAATAGGAAAGTGGTCACTTCCAAAGGCGGTATTAAGAACCTGCCAAGAAAAACAAGGCAGTAATGAAGGTGATTCAATAGATAAATCGATAGATGTAAATGAATTGTGAGCTGAACTAAAAAACATGTAGACTTCCATTAAAAAGACACAGTTGAGATAATAAAAAACGTTAAATTTCTCTGCCTCGAGAGTCGAGATGAGTACTGCCACACATTAAAATTACTTAAAAGAAGAAAAGGTTGATAAAGTTGTTCCACACGCCTTTGGAGCTCAGAGAAGCAGGAGAAAATTTGGAGGCAAATAAATAGGAATAACCGTTATAAGGCGATCTAAAACTAAGCGTACCGCTACGGCTTCTAGTAGTGTGCAGAGTGGGACCTCAAAGCAGGCAACCCCGCTCACACAATTACTGCCAAGCCCCCGAAATCGGAATTTAGACGATCTTTACGAAAATCTTGAAGACGCCTTAAAATCTGTGCATGTTGTGCATGAAGATGGGTATCTTGTAAAGCAAGGACAATATGCCGAAAATCGTTCAAAATAATTAATGTCCTCAATATATGGTAAAAGACCGCGACAGTTCTACTGCATAAAATGCAACTTCTTTATTTATCTAAAAGGTAAAATGTGAAATTAAAATTTGAGAGGCCACGAAAACATCGAGAATACTAAAATAACGGTTATTTGGGAGGGACCACTGTCTTTTTTTTTTCTTTGAGCCTCGGAGTCTGCCACTCCATGTCATCCTGGTCGGATGCAAGAGCGGATGACTCGGAGCCCTCATCCATCGACTGCGCTTGTGGAGAGAAGACCTATCAAACCGAGGCTATTTAGAACAGTAAATGAAAAGCATTGCAAGAGAGTCCCATGGTAATGTAACGGATATTGCTCTTGAAGGTGGATCGTTTGTGCCCGTTTTTCACGACGTGAAAAATCACTCGAATACATTCAGTGTGCAGCAAAGTTATGGCAAAAATTACGCTCTAGTCACATAAATTCGCCCCTATAGACAGAAGGCAATTCATTCAACCCATTTTTTTTTAATATCTCGAGGATGCTTTAGAACAGGGACTGAAAAAAAAAACTTTTCGTATTGAGCGAACTCCCAATAATCTTGAGTGAATAGAATGCACTCCCCCGTCTTAATATTTGTACAATTACAATTTAAAACGGTGCAAGTATTTGTAATGATACAATACATCCAGTAGGAAGCGGACAGCTTAGTCATGCGAAAAAAACACCCTTAACCAGAAGCAATGAAGCAAAGAAGAGCGTCTGGGTGTGTGAGGAATCATCATTCTCGAGTAAGCGATGACAGAAATGAAACCTCCAGGGGCATTTCTTGACATTAGTACATTTCTGAGACAGAATACCTCGGGTACTCGGCAAAACAACCCGCAAGCAGAAAAACGGAGATCTCAGACCTGCATTGCCGAGTGTTCCACCTGTAGCCCTGTATAGTTCCCGATAACGTCAAACACCATCTCCTGTAGGGACTGCTTCTCTCTCTGGCAGAACCCGAACTTGGTCATGGTGCTCTCCAGCTCAGCGGTGAACTCTGCCACCTCGCTTGTCTTGAGCCTGCCAAGATAAAAAGGACAGACACCTCCGACATTGTACAACTACACCATTGTGTTCCACATTCCTTCACATTAGCGATTCATTGCACTGTTGGACATAGTTATTTTTGACAGTGTCACAAGCTCAGAGGCAGATAACCAGGATCAGGGGAAAAACGGAACATCAGCTTATTACTTTGTTCTTCGCATGCCTTAAGGCAACAAAGTGCACTGGGTAGGGAAGTTGAACGAGATGCGTATTATTTCATCGTGAAGTAAAGTCGGATTTCACTCCTTTCGATAAAAACGGCGTTAAATTGCTGCAGCTGTATCCAACGTACCGAATTTTACCAAGATTGTGAAAGCATAGAAATAAATGACAGAAACTGGGGCCTTCCCAAGTGTCACTACCGGGAATGAACTTTTCTCTGTTACAAAGGGACCTTTTACAACAGCAACATTAGCACACACAGTGAAATTATAAGAACGGAGCCTGTTTATTAAGCACTTTCGAATTCTTACCTGAGCTGCTCCTTGAGGGAGTCGTTCTCGAGGGTCAGACCCTTGAACTGCTCTAGCTGCACTTGCAGCTCCGTGTTGTCCCTCAGGAGCACTTCCACCTGAAGTCAGAGGGGAGACAAGACTTGTAAGGCAGCACACAGAAAATTGATGTGGAAGTCTAGTTGCAATGGGCAAACAGCCACAGACAAGCAAGGTGTACAAGGTCGAGTACCGAAAGATGAGCCCTTCAACCTTCCGGAAAAGACTTATCTATCGGGTCAAGGAAAGAGGCGTTACTCAATTAAGAATTAAAACCTTGAGACAACGAAACAAAAAAGGGCCCTTTTTGTTCTCTTGTCTCAGGTTTTAATTCTTAAAACCCTTTTAAAGAAAAGAAAAAAACCAAAATGTCTCAGATAAGCCCTTTGTTTTTGTTAAAACTTTTTAACCAAAAGGTTTTAATTATCCAAAAGGCCTCAGATAAGCCATTTTTGTTTCCTTGTCTCAAGGTTTTAATTCATAATTATGATTGTTCACCAGCTGACCTGCGTTTTGACGATTATTTCAGCTTTTCCTAAGTTTGAGCAATAATGGCTAAAGGTTAAATCTCCAGTGAAAATGCTGTCATTCCGCATTCTGCATTTAGGCAAGTTTGGAGCTTTAGCCTTTACGGGAACAAAGCAAAAAGAAAATCCCTCCCAATGAAAAATACTAAGAGATGACAGCAAAAGAATGCATCACTAAAAGTCATGCAACAAATTAAGCGTTGTCATACTAGATGAATATTGCTTTAACAACGAGCCTGCTTTATCCAGTTGGCATCATTCCCGATTTGAAGGGATCAATTACTAAAGAAAAAGGTATAGAATGCACTGAAAGGTGTACCCAAGTGCTCAGAACCTCAAAAGGTTTTGAAAGTTAAAGTACAACTTCAGCAAAAGTCAAATTTGAACTGTGTGTCAGAATCACCACCTACACTGCGTTCACTCTTAAGCTCAGACCGCAGCCAAGCCACAGGTGTGAACTAGCCAATGCCCCTTGCTTTGAGGCATGTTTTTGTAGAGCGAACGCTCATCCTGCGGAAAAACGTTTCCAAGACGATCTTGTGCTCTCACACTTGTGGCCTTGACTGCAGTCTCAGCTCAAGAGTAAACAAAGTACAGTATGTGCATCATTGTTCATAAGGTCCGTAGGCTTCCGCACTCTTTATCTTATCGATACAGGGGTAGGTTTTCTGCACCAATAATCAATGGAAATGGGAGTTCTCCAAGATATAAAAGCTAAAGTAACCCCGGAAAAGTACAGCATAACGGAAAGTCACCAATATGCTACCAACCTGCAGTTCTTTTTCCTTGTGAAGGATCTGCAGCTCGTGCTTGTCCTCGGCCAGAGAGCTTACCAGCTCCGTCAAGTCCTTGATCCTCCCCTGTAGGTCCCACGGCTTGCGTTTGCCCGCTACAGACGGTGCCGGGGCGGCAGAGCTGCCGGAGCCTTCTATCTTAGGAGCCGAGGGGGCTACGGATATCCCTCTGTGCTTGGTAGCCAAGGAAACGACGTTGGAGCTTGAAGCACCGGCCTTGAGGGCTGCATAAGCAACAAGGGCTGCTGTTCAACATCTTGCAGCTGAAGAACTGTTTACGCTTTTCTGCATTTCACCAATTAATAAAAAATATCGGTTTACGACGTTCTGGTATGAAAATGTGAGCTCGTGCTCAAGTGAGCACGGCCACTCCCTCTTTCAAAGAAGCTAGATCCTGCCGACTCTACTGAGCTTCGGTGACCTAGATCGATCGACCCCCCCCCCCCCCCCCCCCCAACACTTGAAATGTCCCTTTTGTACCCAATGCTGCTCACATTTAACCCCCAAGTCCGCTCAAAGAAGCTTCGCTCTTCTTTCTATTAAATGCAGCTGTTTTACCCTGGGGATCCTCATACAGTTTTCTACTAGACGGCACCAGTTATTTCTATTTCGAGCATGGTGGATTACAAGAGGCACTGGCACTATGGTGCCGGAAACGCGTCTCCAACTGGTGTTTACCGCGTCCAAAAAAGTGTTATCTTGATTTCCGCCTCATGACGTCATAGAAGTGTCATGCTGTCTCCGACCGCGATTCTGGCGGTGTCACAGCAGCGGGGGTGGATGTGGCAGACGCCTGTCGGTGTAGGTCGCTTTCCAGCTTGACAGTCCACAGAAGCTTCGGCTACCACTAGTTGGCACGCCGCAATGGCAGCAAAACTCGCAATTGCTTGAGCTTTTTGCCGGAACTTCTGCTGCCAGCTGGCAGCCATGAGGATCGGGACATCCGACAGCATGACGGTCGTGCTTTTCTGACATTTGTTGCCACTTCGAGACCAATTTCGATGCATAGGTGGAGTAGGACGCTATAACACCAGTCGGAGACTTGTTCAGGACAGCGCACTGTCACGAGGGTGTGGCTCTCGTCTGGCAAATTTTCAAGCACAGAATGAGACGATTTATTCTAGATTACAGGTGTTACGGTTGGTTCAGCATTTCTGGCAGATTCAGGTTCTAATAGTGGTCATGATTAGGTATGTACTAGCATAAAAGATAACTGACCATCTTTCGTTTGAAGATGAAGCTGAATTCTTTGCAAGCGGAACAATTTGCAACATAAAAATGTCTGTTCTAGATACCCTTACGCACACGCACCATTTCTCCTGTTTACACAGAGTAGCTTCTTATCTTTCTGATGTTGGACATTCAGACATATATCATCCTCCAATGCCAATGGTACCCTATTGCAGTCAACATGCCAGCTCAGAGAAAAACAGACATGCCATTGCATTAAAATGCGAGCTGCGATTACCCCTGGACCTACTGCTCGGGAGGGTGCCTAAAGAATGCAAGGGCACCCTTGATATCTGCAAACGAGACTCGCCACACGTCAAACCGATCAGAAACGGCTTGGAATCTATAAAGTACCTCAGGTGCAAGCGCGTCTTAGCCCTACAGTTACAGCAGTAAAGATGCGCACTGACCATTCCTGGGTGACGCCAGTTTCAGTGGGGCTCTGCTGACCGGGCAGGCGGATCTCGATCGCCGGAGGAGCTTCTTGGCGACCATTACTTGTTTTGCCTCAGTGGCGGCTGAGGTGGCAGCAACCGCCCCCTGTAGCTTTGGCTGAAGGTCAGGTGGCATTGCCTAAATGGGGAAATACGTTATATATATTCTAACTTCCAGGCCATCACTGAGTTACAGGTGAGAATGCTGCCGTTGTCCGTGCAATGATTGGTGGTATTCTCCTACCCAGCAGGGGTAGGAGAATACTTTATGGAAGAAGCTTGCCCAAAATTATTCCGAACTTTGAGAGATTGTAGAGTGGTTGATGAAGATAAAACTACCAAGGCCCCCCCCCCCCCCCGCCCCCCTCTAGCCAAGATATAAAAAAATGCATGTTTGATTATGTTGACAGAAATTGATAAGCACAAAATGCTTGATGGCCTTGCACTTATTGGCGTTAGTCTGCGGGGTGGGGTCTCCTGTGAAGGCTCTTCCTGTTGCTTCTGACACTTCTTAAATTTTCGATAAGCTCTCCTCTCTTTCCACCGTGCCTTCGCAGCCATGGCTATACGGTGGAAGAGAGGCGTCTGAACTGCACCGCTTCGCTGCAAAGCAAGTGTGTCGTGGGCAAATGCTGTCCCTCGCTAGCTCAGTCGATAATGTACATGGCTCACAATCTCAAGGTGGCGCGTTTAAATTCTGCCGGGGGACTGAAGTCTTTCATATGGTTCCCTATGGGCGTAACGCTTTCAGTGTCTGTTTTTAGTTACAGCCAAGCGTTGCAGATGCATTAAATTCAAATCTGAGGGCTTTACATGGCCAACTAACAAAGGGTTATCTGGCACACCCAAGTGGAGTACTAAGGATTAACTACGACCATTTGGGGAGATTTTGAAGCTTGCAGGTGAAATACGGGGTACACAGCACCTTCTCCAGAACAGGTCTCAATCAGATTGTGGAACTCGCCACCAGGTTATTTATAGGCTGAAACCTTACCTAGGTGCCATCGTGGCAGCTCACATTCCACCGACACCTATACGAGTGGCGTGTGTTAAAGAGACGATTGTTTCCAACAATTATTTTCATAATGAACAAATTAGCAGTTTGTTTTAATTGGCATTTTATGCAACTAGCTACTTTTTTAGCAGGACGGATATATTATATAGTGGAGAAGGCAGAACCCGGAGATCAAATTAATGCAAGTTAACAAGAATGACCTCTAACTTTTTTAAAAGAACAACACCGTCTCACCAGCGTCTCCTTGAGACTCTCCGAACGCTTCAAACTAGGACAGTCCAGACGATTTGTGCGGGTCGGTGCCCTCAACATCCTTTTCGGGATTGCTCCAGAAAGGGGCTGAAATGGGGTAGAGAAACAAGGATGCTGGAAGTTAATTTCAATATTCAAGCAATCCTAGCCTCCACATGGAACAGATCAACTTTGCAACAGGACAAGGTCAGTGTTGGATAAAGTACAATCGGCCTCAAATGAAATGCGAACAGCGGAGCGCGTGGCCGTCGGTACATGCTGCGCCTCCTGGATACCCCTTGAAACTAATAAAACTTTAGGTTGGAGACTAGAGCGCTGCGAGGGTGTGCCTCCTATTCCGACGTGTTTGACCCTCGCCCAGCATAACGCAAGCTTCGACGCTGCGCCGGTGGTCCGCTGGAAGTTCCGCCGCAGTCACTCTCGTTGGCTTGGCATGAGCCATGCGAAGAAGCTCGCCGTTCGCAGTAGGGCCAGGCTGCTTGCCCACGGACGCGCGTAACTTGCGCGCGCGTCCGGGGGGGCATTACCGCAGCGTCACGCTCACTTTTTTAGCTGTTGTCTTTTTTTTTTTTTTGTTGCTTAATACCCGTTGTAATGTTTTGTGAACAGTATAGCAAAAAATGTGCGAAATTCGAAACAAAATAACAAGGAGGGTCCAGGACGTCTGCTCACGCCTAAGTGAAGTCCATTCCCTAACAAACTTATGTATCGGCTCCCGGCGCTCGCCCTGTCTCCTCTAGTTATCGTGTCTCGTCTGCGGCGCTAGGATTGCCAAAATTCAGGTCTGCCAGCTTCCGCATTCACCAAACATTTTAAGGAAATGCAGTAACTTTATCATTGAAATTTTGCAGGCAGGCAGAATATCGTTCAGCGAGCTGAATAAATTGTCAGCTATGTGTCAGAAGTGAAATAGAAGTTAAAGCGGTTCATTAGTGCACGAAAGATTTGTGAAGCTTGATTGACGCCATTTATTAAAAACCACGCAGACGTCATGGTGAAGTACCTAGAGCGCATGACTCCTGCAAAATAGTGAAACAGCGTGGACGGGAAATAGCCTAGTCATTGCTAGGGAGAATTTGTCCAAACATAAAGAATGAAAAACAAGGGAACACGAATGCTACAACGAGCAAAGGCTGACGCGATAGGCAGCAGTAGCTGCCTGTCACAAGCCGGTAGTCTCGCTGACTTGCTGTTTCACGCCGCAATAAGGCGCTGATATACTGGCCGGTCGACGTTCGCGCGATATTGTTAAAAAATCCGGAAGCTGTACTTCAAGCAAAGTAGCAAGTACACGGGGTACATTGTACTTGAAGTAAAGTACTATATATACGATGCACAGCTGCA